TCCTGCAGACTATAAAAAAATATATATAAAAAGCTCAGATTCTTTGTATTTCGCAGTGGATGCTTAAGTACATCTGAAATGAGTTGCAGCCCCAAGAGACGCCGCCTTAACTGCAGCGTTCAGCAAATCACAGTCAAGCCCCTCTGCTGCATGTTAGCATCTCAATCCCTGATCTGAATCTGCTAACGCTATAGTTCATAAAAGATACGAAAGCAGATCGGGGTTCTGTGTGGTCAGTAGGAGGCGGGGGTGGAAAAAGTACTAAAGTGTACTAGTACTGTGGTGATAACCCTGCTGAAAAAGGACCATTAGAAACTATTAAGATTAAAACCTAATGGTTTTGCTTTCTAATGCACACTTAAAAAGATGGTTCTTCAAATGTTCTTTGGTTCTATTCAGAACCATGGACACTCAAAGACTCCTTTGCATGCTTAAATGGTTCTTTGCATCATGAAGGTGTTCTTCAGACTGATGGAGGATGTGCTGTAGATGTTTCTACATAGAACTTTTTTGAAAAGGGTTCTGTATAGCACCAAACAGGGTTCTTCTATTGTAGCAAGCCCATTAGCACACCTTGAATGTGAGCAGACATTAGCAAAGGCACACACAATAGAATATGAGCTTAATAAAGAGCTACCATGCTTGGTATTTTACAACGACACACTAAAAGGACAACAGTAAAAAAAAAACACAGCAGCTACTGAGCTAGTCATTGAGCTAACTGCTTAGCACATTAGCTTACTTGGACACGTCTTTTAACTGAATTAGCTAACAAACAGGGCCCTCGCAATAAAATCTATGAGTTAAAGTTCTATGATGAATAAAGAACTGCTGTTTAATTAATATTAAATTGTGAAAGAACACAATACCTATTTAGCTAAGATTAATTAGCCGACAGCTGCTTAGCCTATTATCTTACCTTGAATGTTTGCTTACATTAGCTAAATTAGCTAGCTAACAGCTGTGAGCTACAATTTTAAAATGAATGAAGAGCTGTTGTGCTTGTAATGACAACAGCTAAATTAGCCAGCTAACAGGCACTTGCAATACAATCTATGAGTTACAGTTCTAAGATCAATTAAGAGCTGTTGTTTAATTAATATTAAATTGTAAAAGAACACAATAACCATTTAGCTAAGATTACTTAGCCAGCCATCTGCTTAGCTCATTAGTTTACCTTAAATATTAGCTTATATTAGCTAAATTAGCTAGCTAACAGCTGTGAGCTACAATTTTAAAATGAATGAAGAGCTGTTGTGCTTGTAATGACACCAGCTAAATTTGCCAGCTAACAGGCACCTGCAATAGCCAGTATAAACTAAAGCTTTAGATTTAATAAAGAGCTGTCATTATTCTAAAAATACAAAATAAAAATAAAATGGTAAAAGATCACAGTAGCTATTTAGCCAGACAGCTAATTGCTTAGCCCACTGGCTTACCTTTAATATTAGCTTACATTAACTAATATAGCCAACAGGCCAACACAATAGAATGACCTATAGTTTTAGGTGTAATAAATAGCTGTCATATTCATTCTTAAATAATAAAAAATGGTAATTTTTCTCAGGTTTAGAAGCTGAGTTGTGATACTTTGGTTAATAAAAATTAAAAAAGCTAAATCCAATATTTTATTAGAAATAAAGTTAAGCAAAAGTAAAATTCATATGATTACATTCTTTCTACTGATTGTACCATTATAGGAAAAAATAATCAAATTTTGCTATGAGAGTAGTTTAAATTAGTTATTTTATGCTTGTGTTGGAAGCAAAGTGAGGAGGCAGTGAACAGATCAGCTTTGTTGCAGCTACTGAGAGAGAAAGGTGGGAAGTGGGGTGAACTGGTCAGAATGGAAGTGGACAGTGGAGAGGTGTGTGAAGAGCTTGGCTTGTGCCGTATCGGAGTGGGGAAGCGACACACTCAGACTCTCATTGACACGCTTGGTGCAGTGGTGCGCACACATATACACATACAGGGTCTTCATATCCAGTGAATCGGTCACTCTGGTTGGACGTGAAATGAAATCAGTGCGCGTGTGTGAGAGAGGAGAGGTGCTAAGAGACTTCTCCAGCCTGACTGACTCACACACATACACAATGTGATGGTACAGTAAAGAACTATATTCATTCTTCATTTCCCTTAATAAGCATTATATTATCTCCACACTGTATTATCACCTCACTATAAAACATTTCACAAGCTGCTTCTACTCCACATCAAAATGCTGTTTCTGCTGGAGCTCATTACAAACCTACAGCATGTCATTAACACAGAAAAACAAAATATACAACAAAATATACGTCATTATACAACAGTTAGTTCTGGCCACGCACCCGGATTAGTTGAGAAGTGTTCTAACCGTGCTGTTATTTTGCCATAATATCACGGGTTTTTCACAAACACTGTATCACTCCGCTGAGACGCCGTTGCTAAGCAACGACTATGACAGCTGTAGGAGACGCTCAAGCCATTTGAATGTTTTTACTTCTTACTTTGCGCACAAACAGAAAATGGATACTTTTAAGATCACATTTGACCGACAGCCGATTTGGTCACACTCTGAAGATGAAACTACACTAAATTCACTGTCAGTTGGTCTGTGTGAGGAGCTGGAGAACGAACTGCCGACTGTGCAGCGAATGAGCGGAGCTCGTTACTCTGACGTAGAAACAAGCTGCTTGTTAAGGAACTATAATTTGGTGGAAGGAATTACGAACATTAAAACGTATTAAAGGCCACGTTTACGGCCCAATTTATTTATTTCTTACTTTATTTATTTAACTGTTGTATAAAAGCAATAGAACACTCACGGTCGTGTGTCACGGCCGTAGATCATCACAGCCGTGATGTTATTTCGTGATAACACACTCCCTCTCGTGTTCTATTGCTTAATTCTAACACTGTGGTGGAAAATAGTGTCCCACAACTCTGGAGCCATGAAAATGAGCTCAAAATAAGATTAAATCACAGAAAGCTGATGTTCTTTATTCTGTTCTTCAATAAACCAATAAAAACTATTATTATTTTTTTAATTCTGCTTAGTTTTCAGTGATTTTCAGTCATGTTGTGTTTTGATGCCTGCTTTTCAGTTTAAATTGTAAACATGCATTCAAATGACTGTCTTTCCTTTTGTCAGTGGTGTTACAGAAACATAAATGAAAAAATATATATCATTTTCTATATATAAAGGTTCTGTGACTTGTACCAATGGCATAACCCTATTTGAAACTACACAGATCTATTTTTAAAAAAGTTATGTAGTAAAAGAATCATAAAACAGGTTCTCCTTCACATGTAACCAGGCAAAGAACCATTTATACATTCATATGATACTTAATTTGTCATGGCTCTCTTAAGAACCACAGCCTTTATTCTTAAAGAACCCTTCTATGAATGGGTCAGGGAGCAGCACAGTAAAAACAGTGTGAATGGTTAGAGGCTCATTTATATATTACAGTAAGGGTGCAATATGAAACAATTTATTGTTACTGTAATAAATTATGTTACATTTCTTCACAATATGCTTTTCTGAGAATATTGTGGATATCGTCAGTACTTAAAGAACACTGACCAACTGCATCTTTCACTACACAGAGAGCATAATTGGTGCTGTTTAACTGGACTGAGTGCAGTGAAGTATGTTGAACACTGAATAAAATGATTGTATAGATTGTGATAGTATTTTTTTAATGTTGGTTATTCATTATTTTTTGCCTGTTCAAGTATTAGAAAAACTAAATATTAAGATGCGCATTGTGTTTCATCAAAATGTTGTGAAAATGTCTTAAAGTTGTAGTGCAGTGATATTAGAATTGTACCGTATTGCCCACCACTATTTGCAGCCTTCTGCGATTTCAGTATTGCAAAGAACAATAAAATAATAACAATTAATAAACAATATTGTGCAGCCATAACACACACACACACAAAACCCCCTCACAGAAACATGGAAAGAGAGCGTGTGTGAGAGAGAGAGTTGAAGATCCTGGCAAAGGTCCTACTATTTTATTGATCACACTTTGCACTCTCTCTCTCTCTCTCTCTCTCTCTCTCGCTCTCTCACTCAGACAGGCTCGTATATTTAACAAAAGCAGGCAGGGCTGTGAAATCCCAGGCCCCAGTCACACTCTCTCCTCTAATGACTTTTTAATTTACAGTCTAATGGTAATGCACTTGGCAGGGCCAGGATGTGGCCTACACACACTTCTCCACTCAATAACGCAATCACTTCAGTCAAAATGAATACCCACATCAGCCATCAGAGAGTCAGAGAGAGAGAGAGAGAGAGAGAGAGGGAGAGAGAGAGAGAGGTGGGGGGGTTAAGAGAAAGTGTGTGTCCGAAAAAAAGAGAGACCAGGATGAGAGGAGAGAGCAAGAAAGGAAAAGAGAAAGAGAGAAGTTACCAAAACAAGCAAAGAAAAAAAGTAAGAAAGAAAGAAATAAAGAAAGAGAAAGAAAGAGGTACGCAACTCAGAAAAAGTGAGTATGAAAGCAATCTATATATGGTGGTGCAACGTAGTAAAACTTTGTCTATTTACGTGAGAGACACAAAAAAAGAGAGAGAGAGAGAGAGGTGGTGCCACATACAGAAAGTCTCTGATAAGAGAGCTAAAGAGAGCAAGAGAGAGGGAGATAGAGAAAGAAATAAAGAGAGATGAGGATGTGACAGAGAAAGTGTGTATGAAAGAGAATGAAAGAAAATTAGAGAGAGAGAGAGAGAGAAGAGAAGAGAGATGGAGTAAGAGAAAAGGGTGATGCCACATACAAAAAGTTTATGAAAAAGAAAGCTTGAGGGAAAGAGGTAAAGAGAGAGGGGTGTGTGACAGAGAAAGTGTGTATGAGAGAAAGAGAAAGAGAGAGAGAGAGAGGCCAACCTAACAGAACAGGATTACATAAGTCAAGGTTAATATCAAGAAAGAAGGAGAGAGAGAGAGAGAGAGAGAGAGAGAGAGAGAGAGAGAGAGAGAGAATAGCTGAATAGAATGTAATAGAGTTAGCTATACCTCCACGACTCTCGCTGTCAGCTGGTTTAACCTGAATGGGCCGTGTCATCTACAAGAGAGAAAGAGAGAGACACAAAGAGAGATATTAGTCCTGAGGTGTAAAAATGAGACCAATACATTCAGAACATGGTCAGTGAACACAGCTTAATTTTAACACCATCTATCAGAGTCACTCAGAGCACAGTCAACACACACACACACACACACACACACACACACACTTCTTGTGAGTTTAACTGCATGATAAGATGCAGTGGCTGAGGTTTAAGGCCTAAATCCAGCAACACATTTATCTGCCCTAAACCGTCCTTATAGCATTGGTCACTCCATTAACCCGGCGTGTATAAGCCTAGCGGTGCTGGATTATACCAGTCTGATGGAACCAGCCCTTACACACTTGCTCCATCTCAGCTTTATGGCAACAGAGATATCCATGCATTTAATGCTTCAAAAACATGCAAAATAGGCAGCCATCAGCAGGTACTACTCCATCACTTCCTCTCTCCATCCATACTACCTCTCTCATTTTTATAGTCTACATGGAGGTTTCTTCTGGTCTTCCTCATACCAGGTTGTTTTCTGCAGCGCACGGAGGCATGAAGTCACCCTTTATTTCATGAATAAGGAGCATGTGCGGTGAAGCAGAGAGAGCGAGAGGGACGCTGGAGCTCCTGCAGGATGCATTTGCATTTGTTTACTTGCAGATTGTGGATAAGGAGAGCAGCTCCTCTCGTTTAATAATTGGCCGATGAGGATGGGAAGCGTTCTCAGGCTTTCCAGTCTTACATTCTGAATGTAGACTGGTAAAGACCTGAATGTTAGGGCTGATTAGCTCTGAGTTGACCTACCCATGCCACAAATATGTTCTTTCATAGAAACCGTGGCACATTCTTGTAAACACATATACACTTATTAAGTTATTAACAGAGTTTGTGTTGCATGGTATCCATTACAGTAACATAATTACTTTTTTGTGTAATGAAGTAATGTAGTACAGTTAAAATACTTGCAATTACATTATAGGACTTAATATTCATTAATATTTGTTAGTTGCTCTACTCACACCTCTCGAAAGACCAGAATACACCGACGGGACAAATACAAACACAAACATTCTGATGTTTGCAGTTGTCCTTGTTATCCAGAAAAAGAACTTACAAGTAAAATGAACTAGAGCGAATGAGAACATTCTAGAGTCCTTCAACAATCAAACAAGGGTACGTGTGTTTGTTTGTGTATGTCCCATCATTGTACTCCAGCCTTAATAGAGGCTTGAGTGCAATGATGTTAACTAAAAAGGGGAAGCTCATGAATTAACTTTAAGTTGGCCTGACAAAGCCATGCCTATAGAATCTCAGGTAGGTGTTAAGGTTTTACTAGGACAGGGGTCGGCAACTCAAATGTTAAGAAGAGCCATTTTGTTCTTTCAACAAAAATCAAACCACCTCGGGAGCCACAACATTTTATGTCCATTTACTGAAACAAAATTTTACCATCCTGGCTGTAAATATGTCCTGGTATACACTAAAAATATAATATAAACGAAAACACAGACTTACTTTACTCTGCTTTAAGCTTTAGTTCAGCTATAACCTTTTCTCGCATCTCCGGCAGGAAACTTTTCCTCAAAAGTGGAATAGTTTCTTTTATAATGTCTCTCAACGTTCTACTTTTTACGAGGCTGAAGTCGCTTCTCATTCGCCAGCTTCTTGTTCGAATTTTCCCATTCTATCTTAAATGGCGCATGAGGCATCAGAATGCAACTGCGGCACCATTTAAGATGGAACGGGAAAATTAGACCAAGAAGGTGGTCAACGAGAATCTAACTTCAGCTTTGCAACTTTTTAGTGTTTGACAGTTTCTCATTGCAGATTAAACGTATCAGGAAACCAGCTGAGTGCTTATGAAGGAAAATAAGTCTATTTGTCTCCAAATTATCGATATTCGTCTTAAATCTTTCTCTTTGCCGTTTCGTTAGCTACTAGCTAGGCAAAATTCTTGTATGCGTTGCTATGTGACCAGCAGTCTGCGCGCCAACATTCAGAGTTTAAAGGGTGAATTAGCAGATAAACATTAACTCCAGCGTTTAAGACCATTTATTGTTAAAACTATGTTAGAATGGTCAGCAGAGCTTTATTGTATTGCAAAGGAGGATTCTTTTATTTTTACCTAAACTTCTAATTCTGCTGTGGAGCCGCAACAGGGCAGTAAAAGAGCCGCATGTTGCCGACCCCTGTACTAGGCTATTGCTATGGCATCCCAGGTGGCTGCTAACATTTGTGTATAAATATGACGCTGCTGTCGGAACAAAAGCTTGTGTCTCCATTATTGTTGTATGTTTTTCAGTTTTTGGCATAACTTGAAAACGTCTGTTGCCCTTCACATTCTGCGTAAATTCCATGATGAATGGACCAAAAGAAACCGCCCAGTATGTATGTGAGCCCAGGCTAGTATGTATGTGAGTCTGTATGTAATGTCTGTGAGTGGCAGTATGAGAGATTTTTCACATCATTTGTGGCAGTTAGAATTTTCTCAACATTCTGCCATTCATTTTGTATGGCAAACAATTGTGTTTGAATTAACACTGTACAAAACCCATATGTGTGGTCAGTCCCAAAAGCACATATGCATGACTCCCAGATAGACTCTACAATCCTGCAAAGTTTTGTGATTCTAGCTTGAATGTGACCTCTGAAAATGATTCAAAACATAGAAAGAAACAAAAAAGAGTAAGTTGGCTTTGACAAACTTGACAAAGCCAACTTAATGACATGCAATGCATTTGTAACCTACATTCACCCATCACAGAATATCTATGCCTGTCCTTGTACCTATGACAGCTGACTGCGTGACTTTAATAGTGACTGGTGCAGCAGAAGTGCCATAAAAGTCAATCCACAAAGAAAGTACACTGCTCAATGTAAAACAGTTCAAACCAGGAAGATACATAAATTGAAATGCTACTGAAATGCTCTATATGACCAAACGTATGTGGACACTTGACCATCACACCTGTATGAGCTTATTGGACATCCTATTCCAAAACCACAGGCATTTATATTAAATTGGCCTCTTTTGAGACAATCACAACCTTCACTTTTCTGGGAAGACATTCCACAAGATTTTGGAGTGTGTGGGAATTTGTGTCTATTCAGTCAAAAGAGCATTTGAGAGCTCAGGCACTGATGTTGGATGAGGAGGTCTGCATCGCAACTGATGTCCTAATTCATCCCAAAGATGTTTGTCAGTGGGGTAGAAGTCAGGGCTTGGTGCAGGATACCGGAGTTTCTCCACTTCAAACTTGTCAAACCATGTCTTTTTGGACCTCGCTTTGTGCACAGGGACACAGCTGGAACAGCAGATGGCCTTTCCCAAACTTTTGCCAAAAAGTTGGAAGCATATATTTGTCTAAAATGTCTATGTATGCTGTAGCATTAACATTATCCTGAAAAACAGTCCTGGACCATTGTCCTTCCTCCACCATACTTCACTTTTGGCACTAGACAGGTGGGTAGGTATTGTTTTCCTGGCATCCGCCAAACCCAGATTCGTCTTTTTGCATGTCTTTTCGCCTTTTTCTCCACTCTTTTAACTCACATGTTTGATAATATCAGAGGGCCTCCAGTCACTTCAAAGTTCATTCAAAGAGCTAAAGATTCACTCATTTCTCCTCTCACACTACCAGATCATCCAGTCAGCCGCTTCCAAACGAGCTTCTGACCTGGGAAATCGCTTCAGATTGTGAAAATGCACTGATAACTTTGACAGCTATTTGAGTGCAACTTCCATGAATGAGGTAAACAAGATTCACGAGTTTGTAAGGACTGTTCTTTAACACCATTTGCCATAGGGTTGGAATCAAAAACAGAAATGCTTTGTAGATTTGTAGACACTTTAAAATCATGAAATCAAGGGTTTAGGGATTGCATGTCTTTCCGGAATTAAAATGGAGAGCTGGTAATCGATGCAACTGTGGGTTTGATGAGGTTGCTTCCTCTAAGGCCCTATTCCCTGTAAGAAGAGGGGAAATTGCATCGCCTCGTGTCTCTCTGCATTCGATGACAGAGTGCAAGTTCGAAGACCAGGAGCAGGCTGCATTTCCACAAACAAAGAATGAAGAGAGTGAAAGGAAGAGGGAGAAAGAGCGAAATAGAGAGATGAAACGCAGTGAGGCGACAGAGGGAGAAGGGAACAGCAGGTGAGTTTCCGTGCTTGCCTGTGGTGCTGTTGCCGTGGCAGCCGTGATGAAAGACTTCCCTGTAGTGACTTGTCATGGCTCGGGCACGACAGGAAGTGGCTGCCGCCACGGGACAGGAAGTCGACGTCAGCACTCTGTATCTTACATAGCGTGTCTAAACACGCGCTTTAGGCTTTCAGATGCAGCCTATCAACACGGCAGCACAGCTGTGATGTGTTTGCTAAAGGATCTTTTTCACTGTAGTGTCCTTTAGGATAGCAGGGAACCTGAGCGCTCCATGGATCTCGCGCTGCCTATTCATTCAAAACACATTTCAAGTCGATAGCACTGAAAAATCAGCATTTGCTTCAGAAAACAAGGATCCTGCGGGCACGTATTGAGAGCTGAGGCACGTGAGAGCTTTTCAAAAGAGGGTTCCGTACAAAGCAAAGCAGAGAAGCAGAAAACCAAACCTCTCCTTTGCCCTGATTTATACAGAGAGAGCGAATGCTTACAGATAGATCTCCCTAACCACTAACCACTATCTAAGCACAAAGATGGGAAATATGCACAGCACGAAGCGGTTACTACACTGACTGGATACTCCAAGGACATCATTATTTCTGCTATTGTATTATTCCTTTAATCACTCAAGCAGAGCCAGTTCGTTTCTTCTTTTTTTCAAATAACACTAAATATGTATTTGCATTCATAATCTTGGAAGTCTCATGGAAGGTGTGCTGACCGAGGTTCTGCAAGCAAGTTCTTTTAACCCTGGGCCAAAAAGCACCCTGGGAACTGGTGTTCAGTGGAGGAACCAGGGTTGACTTTACAGCCAAATTTCCAGGAACTTTTATAGTTCCTGCTCCAGA